ATGCTACACACACGGTGCCCGACATGTTGAGCATTGTTTGTAAAAGTGGATAGTTTAGATAATTTGGGATAAATGCTATAAAAATATAAGTTTTTATACTTCTGAATTTGTCATAAGTAAAACCTTATTTAGCGGAAGCTAATCAGTTTGCTAACACTAGTAGAAAATTAATCTGCTAAATGAGAAGCTGGTTCTAATGTAATTGTGCCCATAACAATTTCCATCTGATTTTAAAGTTACCTCCCCTTTTTCTGAAAAAAACATTGGTCTTTTATCAACACAATATTAGTCTAAAACTTTGAGTTGGTCTTTAATTTACTAAAAACATAACTTGATTTAAATTTATAAAGTAATTGCCGTTATGCGAAACAAGCGTTTTTTAAAAGACTGAGCCGGCTCATCATTGCAAACTAACTCGGTGCTTCTAAAACCGGTTGTTTGGAACAAGTTTCCTGTCTTTGGACCATTCTGCAAACAACTCGCTCCAAATGAAAACGATGTTTTACCGTTGGTCTCATTTCAAGTTGACACCTTTGGGAAAGCTGAACACGATCCAGACCTTTTTCCACCCAACATGACTTTAGCTATCAGCCAGGCTACAGCAGCCCTGGAGTGTTTTCCTTCAGAAACACTGCAGCAGCAGCAGCGCATGAAGGGGAGAAGAATGCGCTGCTGCTAACATGGAAAGGAAAAGATAAGGAGCTCCTCAGAGAGGGAAAAAAAAAAAAATCAAATTACAGAAAAAGTGAGGTCTATTAATAGGACAGGAGTTCTGACACTGTCTCCACCTGACATGCTCTCTGGATCTGTCACACACGAAGACGCACACTGATGCCCGCGGAGATTTCTGGTTGCCATGCTGCTGTGAGGAGACGCGTTGCTGCATACTGTAAACACYCAGCACGTCACTGTACGGAGCCAGGCGGCCCTTTGATGTTTCTGCTTCACTGATGCTCAMTGTGACCTCAATTCCCATCCTTCACTGTAGCTGAGGGGAATCTGCGTGCTCATCATCGCCTCACCTTTCAGCGTCGATCAAAAACTTTTCTTTTGGTTGTAGAAGTTTAAGCAGTTTAACTGGAGGTGTGTGGACACAATCCTTTAGTGGGTGAAAAAAAATGTTAAGAGGCAGGAGAAAGTCTTTAATGTGAAGCTCAACGTGTAGCCAGGAGTTATTTTTTTCAAATTTTCTGTTTCCTTCACATCAAAAGGCCTCAATCGGATGACAAGTGAGCTCCAACGCGTCCCAAGTGTTTAATGCTTCATTTAACTTCTTTATGTTGTTGCATAATGTAGACTCCAGACTAAAATCATTCCTTAAAGCAGGGCTGTCGGACTCAGTGACACAAGGGGGCTAATATATATATATA